AACTCAAGTGATATCTAGCACTTGAGTAATACTTTACGTGACACCTATAAATACAGAGCTATGCTCTGTATACCCGACCCTTATGGCGTAACTTAAAAAGTAACACTATACTAAAAAAGTCACATTGGAACTAGCTGTCATTCACTTCATGTTCTCTCCTATGCCTAAGAATCATGACACTTGTGCCATATAGTTTGGTTCTGTCGTGATGTACCAGCTGCTTCAAATGTGGCACTGGCGGAGCCAATTCTTGCTTCTATTGGCTAAGCTGTAAGTTTTATATTATAGCCGGAAGAAAACACTGCAGTACACACAGATAATTATTGTAGAAATCCTATGATTCATTGAAATTCCATTGGCTTCTTCTCTTAAGTTCAGTTACTGCAAAGCTAGAAACTATCTGAGTTTGCTAGGCAACACCCTTTACTAATCACATTTGATAAAATATTTACATCCCAAGCGGATAATGATAATATCCTTAATTTTTACAAGGCTTTTGATCGAAAAACCTACATGTCTGACCTTATTTGTCTGTCCTCCAATACATATAGTTTGGTTCTCTCGTGATGTACCAGCTGCTTCAGATGTGGCACTGGCGGAGCCAATTCTTGCTTCTATTGGCTAAGCTGTAAGTTTTATATTATAGCCGGAGGAAAATACTGCAGTACACTCATAATTATTGTAGAAATCCTATGATTCATTGATAATTCCATTGGCTTCTTCTCTTAAGTTCAGTTACTGCAAAGCTAGAAACTATTTGAGTTTGCTGGGCAACACACTTTACTAATCACATTTGATAAAATATTTACATCCCAAGCGGATAATGATAATGTCCTTATTTTTACAAGGCTTTTGATCGAAAAACATACACGTCTGACCTTATTTGTCTGTCCTCCAATGTTGTCAACTTCCATCGTAGTTTCCGATTTAATCGATCAATTGAATACATTCCATCTACTAGGTGTATTTCGCAGGCAGCATATTCAGTAATCATTATAAGTATCAATGACCTAATATTACTGATTCCATGGACATGCAGTAGACGCGGATCCGGGATTACGTCTTGGCGGTGGCAAGTAGTGTAGATTGCATACTTTTCAGAGGATGTAGTAAAGTCGTTTGCGCTTGTTATAAAGCAATAAAGAACAGCAGAATAACAACAGAAAGCACATTTATTTTCAGTTTCCGAACAAAAAACATCGTGGTCACTCATTCTTTCCCCTTCCCTCATTTTTTTCCAGGAAGTCTTAGGGCAATGATCATGTTGTCCCCCCCTGGAGCCACGCCTGACATACAGACCAATACGAACAAGCATTCAGATGCAATCTTAATACTCGACCATATTTTTCTCGTCACATCTTGTTCACAAGTATACTCTATATACTAGCCCATATTTATAAAAATGAAGCATTTACTTTGAAATGAAAGGTACATCTTCCTTGCAAGCAAATGCTACGGGAAAATAAAGTAAAAGGTGCGGAGATTAGCGATTTCGACAAGGTATAACTTGCACAGTGCAATCAACGCGTATGTGGTCTGTAACTGATGGCGTTGATCTTATTTGTCTCATAATTAAAAGCAGTTCGCACGTCAATTCGTCGCTGGAAAGACAAAGAGGCGTAAGTCGGAAAATGCCCATTTGGAGTGACCACCACCAGAAATCTCTAAGGGTGGGTATCTATAATATGACGAAGTGGCGTATCGCTCCTCCTTATAGTTAACGTAACATGGCAAATCAGTATGTGGACGGATCGCCTATTCTTACTAGTGCTAAGAGGACAAACGGGCGTATATTGCATCTTCTGCAAAATAGCTGAATTGGAGTTACGCCTCTTTGTCTTTTCAGCGACGAATTGATGTAAAGAAGATCCATCTAACTTATTTGTTCAGCTATTTTAAGGTGAATAAAATATTTAAAATGCCTGACACCGATAGTGAACAGGAAGTTACCGAAGATTCCCCTAACGAGATGATGTTTATCGCTGAAAAAGTCCAAGCATTTCCGGAGATTCTCGAGAAATCTCAAGTTCCAGCGATGAAAAAGAAGAAAACTGCTTAACTGATATCTTTAAGGAATACGTTACTTTATTTGGCAAGGCGATGGATATTAAAGCTTTTATGAAAAAAGTGAACAATATGAAGACGCGACTGAAAAATAAACCTGACAAAAATAAAACAGGGAACAACCCCATTCGTCTTTTGTCCTGGGAGAAAGTTATGTTAAAGGCTATGGATGCGGACATAAATCCTATACTAAGTTGGGTACCAGGTGAGAAATAGATTCTGGTCTTTACTATTACCTTGTAGGTACTTATCATGTTTATTAGGCGCTCTTGCAGTTGGCGTGGCAAGTCAACCTTCTTTACCTACTTCAAAGGATGACATTATGGTGGAAAACGACGCTCATCAGATGATTATGCCTCAAGTAGTAGCTAACAAAATGCGATCCTACACATCGGTTGAAGAGGTTGCTGCAAAAAAATTCCTCCGAAGCTTAACTTTGCTTCGGGCAAACAAGAGTCTGACGAGACGAGGCAGTTAACGACAACCCAGCTTCAATGACTAGTTTTAGTTGAACAACTGAAAGTTGCTCGTCTCCAACAACAATATTACTCTGCCAAGCTAAAAAATTTAAACGAGGCATCAAACGAAAAAGCCCCGCAAGAGTATGTTGTTGTTGGAGATAATATTTACCAAAACTTGCAAATAGACGTATATGTAATATGTATCATTTATAACAAAAAAAAATATTAAACGTTTTTTTCCAGTGCAAACGTGTAAGTTTATTTTTAGTTCAAGTAACATCTTTGTAAGTTTGAAGTACACGACATATACATAGCATTACATGAAAGTTATGATCCTAATTATACACCTATATTGTTATTGGTAATAAGACGAGTTAATTCCTCTCGCCGCCTTTGTCCTTGTGCGCAAATAGCAGCTACATTTTCATTCTCTATAAATGGCAAGTCCTGTTCTTCATCTTCGTCATTTTCTTGAAAATATTCATCTCTTAATTGCTTAGCTATATTTTGCAACACAGCACACGCAATTATAACTTTTGGAATACTGGTCAGTTTTACTCTGCATCCATACTTCAGGATAGGAAATCGCCGCTTTACTTGCCCAAATGTACGCTCAATCACAACTCGCTCTGATGTAAGCAGCCTGTTAAAGTCTCTCTAATATTTCTCGTGGGGGTCGATGTAAGGAGTCATGAGACATGACATTATACCATACCCACTGTCCCCTAGAAGAATAGTATTCCTTGTCTTTTTCATGACTTCACGCTCTTCCGAATTTTTCCACATACGAGCAGCATGGACTGATCCAGGCCAACTTGCATTTATACTAGTTATAACAGAATTCTGGTCGCATGTAACCTGTACATTAATACTGGCAAAACCTTTTGGGCTGGTTTTCCATCAAGACGAATATGCGTGCAGTCGATAACTCCAATAGCTGTGGGAAAACGGAACCTGGTCAACCATTTCTCTTTGGCCTGCATAATTTGATTACCTGTAGTTGGTAACCTGATAAATTCTCCGGCTTGATGTACAATTCGCTCTAGCGCGTCATGAAATATTCTGGACACTGTGGGCTGCGAGCATCCCAATTCTTCAGCTATTCCGCTCTGAAATCCAGGGTTCGCATAGAAATATTTTCATTTTCTGCACAGGTGACTGGGCTACTCCATGAGTTTCGAAATCTGTGCCAAGAAAATAATTTTCCAACCACACCACATTTTCCTCCTCAAATCTAAACAACGTCTTGGTTTGTAGTATTTTCTTATACGTAAATGCACCACATTAGCCATAACTAACACAATACTGCGACTAATCAACCAAAGATCACTTAAACAAGCCCTTACAAATAGATTTTATTAAACGAAAATGCACAAATTTTAAGATGCAGGCTCTAAGATGCCGGTACAACTAATGATAAAATGAGAAAAGTTGCTGTAACCTAGATTTCTTTTTTTAGAAGAAAATACTTTAGTTTTTAAGCAAATGCTTCTTTTTATAAATAAGAAAACGTTAACACCTTTTACCTTACAGAAGCGAGACCTTTTTCTTCACTTCTTTTTATGCATATACTTTGAAAGAATTGCTTTATTTTTTGAAAGCAAAAGGTAAAACTTTTTTTTATAAATATAGACTACTATCTCGGCAGCTTGCAACCAACAGAACCTGCCGTCGAAATGTGAGTTGCAGGAATATTAGCCAAGATGGTGGTTGAACCATCCCTCCATAGGTGGCGCTCACAGCCAGTAGACGCGGAATGTGCTAGCGACTATTTATTGCAAGAGTTGTTATATCGAATTTCTACGTAATACCTCTGGTGATAACCACAATCTTTACAAACCCTAGCTTTGTGTTCCACAGTCCCCTTGACGTTTTTGCTCCGTTTTTTTTTTCGCAGGCGACAAATTCTTCTTCTGATTCGGACGAAAAAGTTTATATTAACAGTCGCAAGTAAGCCGCCAGAATAGAGGCAAAACGGATTTCGTGGTGACAAAAGTTTAATTGGCACTCAGTAATTACGTCTGATGAAAGCAAAAGAGACTTAGTTGCCTGGTAGTTGATTACGGTTTAACGCCTTTCTGACAGATGCGAGAAAAAATTGCTCCAATTTGTCTAGCTTAACAAGTCTGGCACAGAATATGGTAGATTGAAAAAATCTATCAGCTTGCGTCTCTCTCGGCAAGTCTCTTGTTTATATAGCTCCTAGGAGATAGCAGCGATCTGCCCGAATGGACAACAAGATTATCGTGGTCATATCACTGAGGCCCGATTTTTCAATCGCAAGTTAACTTTTTGGTTAGTTAACTATCGCCAGGAAGTTAACTTATAGTTACTTGCAAATTCGTTTTTCAAGTATTTTGATAGCGTCAGTTAACTTACCAGAAGTTCAACATATATTTATCTTACAGCCCTGTATCTGCGGTTCTTAGATATCGTGTTCTATGCGTTTTGTGCGCTCGGCATCTGTGTCCCGTGTCATACGTCATACATGACAGTTCGATTAAATTAAATTTCTTACAACAGCCAAAATCGAAATCCGGAAATTTCATTGAAAACGAATAAAACATAAAACCTTCGTCAAGCAAGGTAAGTTTTTTCAAACATTGCTCGTACAAATGTTTAGTAGTAGACCCTGTAGACGGCATTATATAAATGGTGATAAAAAAGTTTGCAAATGCAATGTCTAATGAACCATACTAAGGTCAAAAGACGATTAAGTTGTGAATATCTGCTGAATAACGTATTTTCCACTTTTTAATATTACTCCTATAATCTACAATCAAAAAATAAAGGGGATACACAATACATCTATTAGTGTTGCTAAAATTTCTCAAAAAGTGTTTTCTAGCATGGAGAAAGTGATCAAAAAGAGAGCTCAAAATGTCTCGAGGGATGAGGAAATGATGCTAATATCATTGGTGAGCAAAGGTAAAGATGTAATAGAGAGCAAAACAAGTGGCAGTTACGTGGAAAGAGAAAAGTTCAGTATGGCAGAGAATCGAACATGAACTCCAAGCCCTAACAGGGTGCCATCGAGAGACAAAAACTCTACGAGATAAGTATTTCAATTTGAAGAAAAAAACAAAAAGCAAATTTGCCACAAACAAAAGCAATATAATCAAGACAGGGGGAGGTTCATGCCAATTGCAAGCATTCGATCTGATTGATACACAATTACAAGAAATAATGGGACCACAATTAGAAGGTTTGACACACAATTATGATGATGAGTGTAGTGACCAAGATGAGGTAGTTGCTGGACATGGTAAGTGTCATTGCTGTTGCTTGAAACATTTTTTAATTATTCAGTTGTTAGTTCCTTATGCAAATAACTGTGATGACAGTGAAGTGGTGTTCAATAATGGGAAATGGAGCTCCTATACTCCCCAACAACTGAAGAGGCCCAAAACTATAAAGCTATCATGTACGAAAACGGTACAAAATAAAAAATATATTTCTGTTAACTCTCTACTAATGGAAGAAAAGCTGAATTTTTCGAAACTATAATAAGAAAAATTCATCGAAGAACAATAAAAAAATGGAAGTATATCAAAAAAAAGGTTCAGCTGTTGGATTTACAGATCAATGCATTCGATAAGTAGAAAACAAACGATTTATTTTGTTAATTTTTGGAATATTTTCAATTCCACTTTTTTGGTATTTCGCATTTTTCAGGATAATATGTTAGTTTAATAATAAACTGTTTTCAGAAAATCATGTTTATTTTCATTCTGTAGTTACAATAAATAGGGGATAATAAATATGTCAGATGAGAGATATGGCCAAAACTTTAGGTGTCCAAAAAGATCGACTGAGTGCCCATTTTGAGGCTTGGGACATTTATTATCAAATGCCGTGTGCACCTTTTTTGGACACCAACAATTTTGGCCACAACTCTTATCCACTTGCCATGGATTATCACAGATCTTATACTAAACAACTTTCATCTAGCATCGAGTCATGCACTGAGCATCAGTGAATGTATTGAATCGATTTACAAAATTGCAAAATAATTAATAATAAGGTAAGGTATCTAGATGAACTCTGAGACCCATAACTAGACTTGGAAATCTTCTTTTCCAAATTCCATAGCTTATCTCTATAACAATGCGACTACGAATGATAGATTCATTGTAATTATAATTCTTCAGCAGGCGTTGTAGTTGTATTTAATGGTGTCATCAAATAGCATTTAATAGGATAACCTTTGTCACCAGCTAACAAAGAGTTGCCAAAGTGACCTGATTCAAATTGTCTGCAGAGCTGAGAATTTCCGAAAATGTATGAATCTGCGTCAGAAACAGTTCAGTGAAAAAAACTGCTTTTGATTTCTGAAGAGCTCTGCATAGCTTACTCCGGGAGAAACAATTTTTATATGCGTGCAGTCAATTGCACCTATGCATTGCGGAAACCCAGCTATATCATTTATAAAAGGGTTGCTTTGCCCTGGCAAGAGCCTCAAGAGTATCCGGCATTTTTATGTAATTACTTCTTTTACTCGTTAGTACTTTTAAAAATCTTCGGACTGCTTTGGATGCAATTGATTTGGAAACCCCAGCAAAATATCCAGCAACTGTTAAAAAAGTTCCATTGCGCAGTGCTAACAACAGCTGCTGTTGGGGCGTTAAGCAGTTATTTCTGGAATGACAAAGTCATGTAAAAATATGGAAATAAACAATAATATATACATCTACCTGCTTGTAGGATATACTAAATCTTCATAGATTTCGTCTAGGAGAGTTTCTACAGTCCTTCTTGTAAGACGAAATCTTGCAAGGAAATCGAGGTCATCAAATTCATCAAAGTAATTGGATAATATAAGATTTATTGCACTGCCTCCAAATAGTACGCATCTCCTGCAGCCGCTGGATGTAGCATACTTCCATCCTATGAAGAGAAACTGGAGACAAATTCTAAATGACTGGAAGAACACGGCTTTAAGGATTTAGTTTTAGCGGAATACCTAAGGATACCTTTCCTAGGCTTTTAAAAACTGTGTTGACAAGATTGGAAGAGCGCAGTGCTGAGTATCTTAAATCTGGATTCGGAAAATGCGGAATTTTCCCTTTTAATAAGGAAGTCGTTTTGAGTAGATTGCACGGAAATGTGGTGGCTGACGACCCTGCAATAAAAAAAGTTGTTGGCGAAAGCTTTTTGGAACATCTTGCTCATATACGTCACGAAACCATAGCACCCCGTATTCGTAAAAGAAAGAAACTCCAAGTGCCTCCTGGTAAAGGGGTAACGGTTGCTGGTGTACAGAATGCCTCCTCGACCGAGCCTCCCAACAATTCGCCGCAGCCCTCCACGTCTGGAATCCAGAACATGAGGAGCATACATGAGCCTTCTAGAGGTTCAGACTGTGACAACAGCTTACCTGTATTTGAAATAAAAAGCCAGGAATCTAAAAGAACAAAAAATGATTCAGAGAGCTCAGATAGTAGCATTCAGAGTATTAAATATGCAGAAACAGCCGATAGCCCTTACAATTCTGAACTGTCAGATGATGAAGTCAGTGCCGAACCAGATAGAGTAAAAAAATGGCATTTTCCGTGGATTCAAGAAAAGTTGGAAATTACGTTTTGGTTATTTACAATCAAAAATATTACCCTGGACAAATCACGAAAGCTTTTAAACTTGGAGCGATGGTCAATGTCAATGAAATGGCCAAATCACAAAGACGAAATATTTTATAGGAAGCAAGAAATAATAATGGCTATAAAAACACCTGAACGTCGTGGACATCGAGAAGTTTTCGATGTTCCAGAATTGAAAAATTTTGCTTAAGGAAAATATGTTTGTTTGATTTTAGATTTAGGCCTTAATCAAGGCATTATATCTTTTTAATTTTTATTTTTTTGTATTTAAAAATACCAAACTGATGATATTTATTATTTATTTAACTTGTAATGATTTGAAATATTAAAACCTCTTTTTTATGTACTTATCTAGCAATAAAAGCTCCTGAAGGGACTTTAATCCTGTTCTTTTGCCCCCTACTATAAATAAAAAATAGCAAAAATACGTTTTTTGCTTGCCATTTCATTTTTCTTTGGTTCAGCAATGTCTATCTTTAGGCCCATGACGTTGAAATATTCTTATAAAAAGCCAATGTACCAAAGTTACCACAAATGGAGGGGTAACATTGGGACACATTTAAGGCCAAATATGTCAACTTACAAAATCAATTTATGATGTTTCTGTGCTATTGTATACTTGGAAGTGTTGGAGCATTGCCAGTAGTCAAAGCCCAGTTATTTTTACAAGATCATGTTTAAAGAAAGACCAAAGTTACCCCGGTTTACGGTATCTAACAATAGTGTTGTGGATCAGTGGAATATTGTTGTGCAACCGCTGAAAGATGGCAATATGGCTGTTGCTCGTTGTGCCTAATAGCTGGATATAACACGTCCAAATTGGTTTCATGAAAGCATTATATCTCTTCAGAATTGGTGCCCGTTTGTTTTCCTTTAGAAAAAACGTGCATTTGTCATGTAAGCCTTCTGTGTAAATCGATTCCGAGATACCTCGCATGGTTTGATTGTGGGATTTGTAAACTATTGATAGTTACTGGTGGATAGGTTTTTCTACATAGAGTAAATCTCAATGAGTAGTAAGAGTTGTTTTAATTTGAAGTATGCCTTACTTTATCAAATGCTTGGGATATATCTAGAGATGCAGCAAAACACTATCTTTTGTTGTTAAAATCCGCATTAATTTTGTTCACAATTCTGTGCACCTGGTCGCCGCGGAACCAAATTTATGGTCCGGTATTAGCTTAGATATGTCAATAATTTCCAGCAATACTATCATGTACTCGTATACTTTTGTGTTGAGAGCACTGGTAGTAGGCTTTTAGGACTACTTATATTAGGCGACTTCGTTAGTGTTCTTTCCTGGTTTCAGAATCTTTTTTAACTATGCAACTGCGAAGATGGCTTTTCATTCAAAATATAGCGGTAAATCTATATATTGTTTTATTGATTACGTAGATAATTCTCAATCCTCCGCTGTTTAATTTTTGTGATAGCTAAGACTATATGAAACTGCGTCTAGGAAGTCTGTTATACGATTTTCGTCTTCTTCAAGTACCCTATGCAGGACACTGAGTGAACATGCTTTGCAGTGTTCAGCAGAAAATGTTACCATCTCTGCATCACACTACTTAGTTGAATGATTCTTTATTGAAGGGTTAGGTAGACTATGCCTTATCAATTCTTTGCTGACCTTCCAGAGTGATTAATTTGTATCCTCTGTAGATGTCAAATTCTCAAGACACTGTTGAATACCATCATTTTTATACTCCAACGTTGTCTGTTTGACATCTTTGAAAGCGTTGATAAAATTATTTTTGTTAGTGTACGAGTAGTTTTGTAGCACCTCTCCTGAATATTTTTTGTGAGGTTTCCTACTGCAGCATCGATATCGACTTCAGCTCATAGAGCACAAATAGTTGAGTCATCTAGAAGACTTCTAAACAATTCCCTGTTCCAAGGGTCTTCTGGTTTAATGTTATATTAGTCATGGATAATATCTTTGAGGGTAGGTTCGATAGCTCCTACTTTAGAGATAGTTATTGAAGGTAGATTAGGGCATATTTCTGTACGCTGTTTTGGCTTACTAAGGCCCGTATCGTCAGTCGTCCCTACATCGTCCCTACAATTGTAGGGCGCCTTTATGGCCTCCTTGATTGCCATATCATATTATGTAATCTTTCCTTTCCGCAAAAATTCCAGAAAAGATGGAATGCAATGAAGATTCCAACTTTTCTGCACAATCTCGGAAAGGGGGTTACCATTAGCTTTCGGTAGCTCAGTCGGTGGCATGAAGACATCTACAGGCGTGTAGCTGTGTGTCGACCATGGCATGGCTAGAGGATAGAAGAACAAACAGAACACAAAAATTTAACAGATTTTATTTAACTAGAAAAGCATTTTCATTACATTTGAGAATTAACATTGTTGAAATTTTAAAGAAAAGAATAAAAGATTTAAATCTTTGGCGCTGTTACAAAATTATCTACTTATGTATCTTTCGCGAAGCTGGTCCATTTTGACTGGACTGAAGCGAGGATGGCCAAGGGCTTCAAGTGGAGGTCCCAGTTATGAGGGGTGACCTCATATTTAGTGGCTTCAAAACTAGATGTAGGCGAAGGATGCAGTGAAGTTGAACTTAAACGTGATCTTCATCAAGAATGAAGCTGTAAGTGATGGCGCTGCCAAGGCACATGCATGGGTGAAGGCATGGCAAAGTGATAGGCCAAGCAATAGGTAAGCCAAAGTCAAAGACAAAGGAATGCAAAGTCAAAGACAAAGGCAAAGGCAAAGGCAAAGGAAGGCCAAGTCAAAGGCAAAGGCAAAGGAAGGCCAAGTCAAAGGCAAAAACATATAGTCAAGAAAAACATTTCATACAATTCAGACAAATGGATACATCGCAAAATGATTTACTCCAGATAACTCTAGTCAGTAAATTATTGTCATCAGAATGAAAACAAATGATCAAAAGTTCAAGTACAGTCAAAAATTCAAAAAGTAAAAACATTTGGGGAAGGCAAAAATAATTTTGAAAGTAAATTTCCTACGAACCAAACATCAGGAGAGCTATATCAGTACACTAGATATCCAACAATTAGGCTATATATGCATACATGAAAAGTCTCAAGAAATCAAAAAAACTGCACATGAAGAAATACTTCCAAAAACTAAGAGG